CAGTTGGGAGTGCAAGTTCCCACGACGCATCTCTTTTGCAAGTTTGCTGGTTTGGATTTTTCCTTTCTCGCTCTCTCTCTTATTCTCTTTCTCCCACTCCTCCTGTCTACCTCTCTCTCTCTCTCTTCTCTCTCTTCTCTCTCTTCTCTCTCTCTCTCTCTCTCTCTCTCTCTCTCTCTCTCTCTCTCTCTCTCTCTCTCTCTCTCTCTCTCTCTCTCTCCCTTCCTTCTCCCTTTCCAACACTCTCCCTCTTCTCCTTTCCTCCTCCTTTCCTCCCGTCTTCCTCCTACTACTCCTCTCCCCCTCCTCCCTCAGTCACCCCCTTCCTTTCCCCCTCTCCTCCCTCCCCTCTCCTCCCCTCCCCCCACTCGGTATTTGCAGACGCAGCATCTTTGCCTCTTGCTCTCCGTTCGGATGGCTTAACGTATTCATAATTACTAGTTATTCTGGCAGGTTTGTGATGCGTAAAGGTGATGATTGATGGTAATGACGCTGGTGGTGGAATGATGATAATGATAGTGATGTTATTGGAATGATAATGATGATGATGACGATTAAGGTGAAGGTGAAGGTGAAGGTGAAGGTGAAGATGAAGATGAAGATGAAGATGAAGATGAAGATGAAGATGAAGATGAAGATGAAGATGAAGATGAAGATGAAGATGAAGATGAAGATGAAGATGAAGATAAAGATAAAGATAAAGATAAAGATAAAGATAGAGATAAAGATGAAGATGATGATAAAAATAATGATAACGATGGCGACGGTAATAGTGATGGTGATGATGTTGATGATAATAATGACGATGGTGATGAACATGAAACCGATGATAAGTGTACTAATCATGATCAAAAGGAAACCTCACCCCTTATCACTTTCATTGAGCCCGACGTCCCAACATCTTTTAAAAGAAGAGAGTTAACACAACCACAATACACCTCCATAACACACGAACCTAAAATACAAAATACATATTCTCCCAAAACGCAAGCACAAAACTTTCACGAAACGGAACAAAAAACAGGAATTTATTCAGAGACTTCCCTTGCCATTGTCTCGTGAACATCAGCGTATTAAGAGAAAAAGAAAATTCCTGACACTTATCTATTCGCGCAATGGTTAAGTGACAGAAACAAAAAAAGAGAGATTGCGGAGAAGGGGAGAAAAAAAGTATATGTAAGCATCCAGTGAAATCACTTTGTTCCTGTATTTAATTCCCGTTGTAACTTCGAAATATTAAAATGCAAATGGTTTTGAATATAAAAAAATCATATTTTGTATAATGACAACAATTTTAACAAAAAAAATCGTTTTGTATTACGTACATAAGAAATCATATTTTGGATAATAATTTCATAATAATAGCAATAGAAAGAGACGCATAGCTTCCTCTAAAATCAAAATACAATTCAAGACAAAGAAAGAATTGATATACATGAAGGGAATAACATTATATATAAATATATATATATGTGTGTGTGTGTGTGTGTGTGTGTGTGTGTGTGTGTGTGTGTGTGTGTGTGTGTGTGTGTGTGTGTGTATTATATATAAAAATATGTATTATACATATATAAATATATATCATACACATAAATATATATCATAAATATATATCATATATAGATATATATAAATATATATCAAATATATAAATACATGTTATATATAAATACGTACATAAATATATATTATATAAATATATATTATATATATGAATATATATTATATACAGATACATACTATATATATGAATATATATTTATAAATATATATCATATATATATATATATATATATATATATATATATATATATATATATATATATATAATTGTCATATATATATATATATATATATATATAATTGTCATATATATATATACATATAATTGTCATATATATATATATATATATATATATATATATATATATATATATATATATATATATATAATTGTCATATATATATATATTATATACATAAATATATCATATATATAAATACATATATAAATATACACAAACAGATATTTCCCTTCGGTCATATTAACGTTGGAAAAAAGGAGTGAAGAGGCTGTATCCTCACGCCCCCTCCCCCCCCCCTCCCCGCCCCACCCCTTTCCACCCACCTCCGCTCCACACCCACCCACACCTGTTTCCGCAACACCTGGAACAATTAGCATAGTGTAGGCAAGCGGGGATAATTGGGCATTGTCCTTTTACAGAAACAAACATCGGATTAAAATGCATCTGCTGTAAAACATTAAAAAAAAAGAAAGAAAGAAAAAAAAAAGAGATATATTGGGTGTTGAAAATCAAATATTGGGAAACATCGATTCCATCATTTTTTTACGGAAATTAAATGGTATGTCAACCGAAATAAAAGAAAAAAAAGAAAAGATAAAAAAATATATTAAATTAAAGAATAAAATCAAAAAATCGTATAAAATGTACAACAAATAAATGATAAAATACTCACCAACGAAAATAACATCCACGTAGACGTAACCACCAAGTTTTCTTAAAACCAAGTGGATATATTTCTTCTCTCTTCGTACGTACGTTGTCAATAATTAAAAACAAAAAACAATGAAAAAAAAGAAAAAAACAGGACATAAAAAAGTGTCATTTTCATTTCTTAATTATCCAGCAACGACTTTCTTCCGCCATAGGCCTACATCACTAGACATCTGATTACAAAGAGGATGGATGAAAATTAATTCCGTTTCCGGCGTGTCCCCTCCTCTTTCCTAGCGCATGTCCTCTTGGCCGGATGTGAGGAAATGACCCGTACATCTCACCCGGACTTCTTGGCTCCGTTAATGACATGTCTTGTGAGAAAGGATCAACGGTCCGTTAATATCTGTTGTAAACTTCGGCCCTTTTTCTGTTATTTGACGACTGGGCGCATTTCTTCGCTTTATCTTTATTATTATTTTTTTTGTTTCTGTCTTTCTTTCGTTTTTTATTTCTTACTTTTCTTTTTTGGGGGGGTGGGGGTGTGATGGAAACACTGCGTTTACTTTCGTTTTTCTTCTTTCTTTTTATCTCTTCAACTCTTTTTTTTAATTGTCATTGCTCTTCGTGGTTTCACACTTCTACTTCCACTTCTATATTCCTCTACTCTTCCTCCCTCTTACTCGTTTTCTTTCCTTCCTTCTTCTCCAGTTGCCGTTTTGTTATTAAAAAAAAACATCAACGTGGCAAATGCCTTTCCATCAAGGATCTTAAAAAATGGTGTGCATTATGTACATTGCTTCTCCTCAGTATGTATCCAGAGGAAGAGTAATTTACAGAGAACTAAAGAAGAAAAAGAGGGAGAGGGAGAGATGGAGAGGGAGAGAGAGATGGAGAGGGAGAGAGAGATGGAGAGGGAGAGAGAGATGGAGAGGGGAGACAGATGGAGAGGGGAGACAGATGGAGAGAGGGGAGATGGAGATTGGGAGGGAGGGAGGGAGGGAGGGAGGGAGGGAGGGAGAGAGAGAGAGAGAGAGAGAGAGAGAGAGAGAGAGAGAGAGAGAGAGAGAGAGAGAGAGAGAGAGAGGGAGAGGGAGAGGGAGAGGGAGAGGCAGAGGAAGGGGGGAGGAAGGGAGGGAGGGAGGGAGGGAGGGAGGGAGGGAGGGAGGGAGGAGAGAGAGAGAGAGAGAGAGAGAGAGAGAGAGAGAGAGAGAGAGAGAGAGAGAGAGAGAGAGAGAGAGAGAGAGAGAGAGAGAGAGAGAGAGAGAGGGAGAGGGAGGGAGGGAGAGGGGGGGGAGAGAGAAAGAGAAAGAGAGAGAGAAAGAGGGAGAGGGAGAGGTAGAGGTAGAGAGAGAGAGAGAGAGAGGGAGAGGGAGGGAGAGGGAGAGGGGAGAGGGGAGAGGGGAGAGGGGAGAGGGGAGAGAGAGAGAGAGAGAGAGAGAGAGAGAGAGAGAGAGAGAGAGAGAGAGAGAGAGAGAGAGAGAGAGAGAGAGAGAAAAGATTGATATAGAGAGAAGAGAAAAGGAAAAACGAGAAAGATTGATATAGAGAGAAGAGAAAAGGAAAAAAGAGAAAGATTGATATAGAGAGAAACTGAAAGCGAGAGGAAGGAAACAGAAAAAAAACTAAACAGACACAACAAAAACAGTTAAAAAAACTGTTTTAGTTTTCCCACAGCCATGTACTGCAAGGAGAATTTTGCATGTAATGAACAGAAAATTCGAAAATATGACGCTTTTCAGTTTATAATAACAAATACGTCTAAGAGAAACAGAGAAAGAAAGAGAGAGAGAGAAAACAAATCACATAATCAACACATCCATCCTGTACCTGGCATGCTATCGCAGGGAACATGACATCCCATTACAGAAAGCTGGAAGAGCATTTGCTGGATGGTCCCGTGTTAATTCCAAGAACACCTGGCGTTTTACCTGCGAGTAGCG